TAGTAAATCGTACAATAATGATCTATATGTTAAAAGGAGCTTATAATAAAGAGAATACTGATATGCATAATCGAATTACTCAATAGCTATACCATAAGAATATATAGATAATATTAGTCAATCAATAGGTCTCAGAAGTTAGTCGTAATTTAATCTTTCCTAGGATATAACACACACTGATTACATTTGTTACCTAACACTCCATTTCCATTCATTCAGAAACCGTTATCTGCGACAGTAAGTTAAAAATGCTCTCAACAATGTTTATGGAAACAAATAATTTCGACATAATTGATAATATCTGTTGATGAAAGTTTCTCATATCAGTCTTTACTGAATTCTCGTACGATCCATTAATACTCTGTGGGATTTTCGGTTTAATTTACCAAATAATTACTCCAAACAAATTGATATTTGACAACTAATGTTTCTTCTGAAAATGTATGACATTCAAATCTCGGTTCTTGATTTGTTTTATTAATCATATCGATAGAACAATGAGAAGACGGAGTTGATATGAAAAATATGATGTATTTGCGCTATACATTTCGAACAATCTGGTCACACATATACTTGTCAGGGCATTTTATATGAAAATTAATAAAGATCAATTAAATGAAAGTTCAAGTAAAAAAAAGTAACAAAGGGGAGAGAAACAATTTTACACCCTGTAGAAAGAATGAGAAATTGTCGCGTTATTCTAGGCCATAGAATGACTTAGGGATTATCAAGGTAAATTCAAGGTTACGACAAATTGTTTTTGTACACATAAGGTGGGTTTAAACTTACGCATAGCCATGGCTTCAATAAACTTGAGAATTCACCCTTGACAATTTCAATACAACGTTCTAAAAGCTGTATTAATGTCAATTTAGTGCCCCGTTTCAATTATATGTTTCGCTATCAATGAACCTCATTTTCTACCTCGCACGTTGATCGGATCATTTGATACACATTGATTTTGAAGCCATCTAGGCACATTTTCAATGACCCTTGAGTGCACTGTTCGATTACTCCTTCCTATGTATGTGTGTCCACACAAACATGTAGATTGGTAAATACAATGGAACGTGCCGTAATCATTAGTGCATTGTCTAGGTTTATTTGGAATCATGGACTTAGACTTTTCAATCACAGCCAAATGAACAGCATAATAGGTATTCTCGATGGCTGCTTTCAATCTCTGTCTTAAAACTATACTGTTAGATTCACCTCTATATGGTGGATGGATATAAAAAAATTTCTTTAAAACTGAATAAACAAGAGGTCAAGTATATGTGTGACCAGATTGTTCGAAATGTAAAGCGCAAATACATCACACTTTTCAGATCAACTCCGTCTTCTCATTGTTCTATCGAAATTTATCATAGGGACTAATCGCTTTAAATGTTGTATTAATGATATCACTCAAAACTTTTATTTTATTTGAAAATGAAGCATAATTGAATAATTAACTATCTACATCAATAAGCGTAAATAAAAATTAAGTCTTATTTAATAGAGGACATAACTTCCGATGTTTTTCCAACAGTTTACTTTCAAAAAAGAACATTTAATGTTAAAAATAACTCAAATAAAATAGCATGAACTGTTCATAATAAATATGAGTATTTATTAAAACTTTTCTCGTCATCTCTTGTCAAACTAACTATAAACATTTAAATAGTTCAAACAATTCGACTGTTACTATGATGATATACTTCCAGTTTTCTTATCCTTTGTATATTATTTCATAACAATGAATAATGGAAATATAATTATGATATCGCTAAGTCACCACATTTTATGCCTAATTTGATGATAACTAATAGTGAAGTTTCTCATTTGATTTGAATTATTTCAACATACCAATAAAACTGATATGTTCGTATTATGAATAATAGTTTAATTCAGAAGACGATAAATGTTTCGTAAATAAGTCATCTGATGCCTGAACTATTTGTACCCAAAGTTATATGTTGTTATTTATACATTTCTATTGGTTTTTTAACCATGTAGGTAACTATTTAAATAGTCTCATAACCAAGAAAAAAATCACTTCTTATTATAACAAATTGATACTACAGAAAAACTACTCGTAAATAATAACATCTTCAGTGAGTTACTTCAGTAACTTTAAAGTACATCAATTGCATAGACCTCTTGGCAGATGTTTTGCGGAGTACTTTAGAATAACTGGCTGAATAAAATTCAATCCAGGAAATCAATAAAATTTTGTTTGTTTTGAGTTAAAACGACTTGCTTTTCTAAGTGTTTTTAAGTCAAAAAATATAAATTACTTTTATTTATTAAATTACTTGGATATGTAATTTCATAAAATCACGGAATAGTTTTATTTTCAATGTCGTTTGGTCATCTAAATCTAATCGATTACTACTGATCAATTTGTATTTTGTATAAATATCATTCAAATATACATTAAATTATATTGTTATTATTAAAACCATCTATTGTTTTATATTTCGTCATCGCTTGAGCATTCAAGGATCACTGCTTGTTATTCATTGCAGAACGGCAAATCAGTCAGTAAATGGTTTGAATTTTAATATTTGTAATGGTTAAATAAAATTTTACTTTACTGCCATCCCATAGTAAGTAGCATGTTCAACGTTTTCTACATTATATCCTCCGTAAAAATAAAACGAAATCATTAACTAATATTCATTATGGATGAAAGATTAGATGTTCAACATATTACATTTTATAATGATACCTATCACTACTTTGATATTATTAATTGATTGTTGATATTTTCATAGCGTATTTGTTTTCATTGAAATTAATGACATTATTCTTCTGTATAAAATTTTGATTAAAATGTAGTTATTACATGAGGCACGATCTTAGGAGATAATGAATTTGATAAATCATCTACTTGTATTTGAAGTATAAAATAACCTACCTCATTGAAGTTATTTATCAAAAATTGCTCAGTATAATCGGTTGGTACATAATACAGACTGAGAATTTTGAGAAATTTAAGTAAAACAGATGTGAACGGATCAATTTTCTCATAGAACTATAGCAAATCTCCTACAATCAATTTCGATTATGGTTAACTTTTGTCAAGACTTTATACTAACTTATTTAATAGACAATCTTATTAAGAACTAACATTTCGTCCGTACAAACGTGTAGGCTTGGTTACATGTGACAGCCTACGCGCATATCTCTCTCTACCTTAAATGTTAATAACTTAAATATCGCTCAGATAATCATTCTCTTTCACATGTATATATATGCTCGAATCCTGTATAGCCTTTCCTTGTTTAGCCTTTGCCGTACCTAGCTGAGACTTGATTCGATTTGACTATAAATTCTTCTCTGTACTTGCTCGCTCACACACATATTAGCTTCTCTGTTTTGATTCACCCGATGTACTTGTAACTATGATACATGTGCCATCCGATAATAAACTGTATTCCCCGCTAATTATTTCCTTCTGAATTCAAACACCATTGAGACTTATATAACAACCTTTATAAGGTTGATTGATTAACGAAGGTAAACCACTACAGATCTTTATCTGAAGCCTTAAGTCAATAAATCGATTTCAGATAATCTCGTTTCCATTTAATTTGAATGATATTGATTATTTTTTATCGACTTTAGTGTGAGGTGATCTACATCTATCACTCAAGGAAAACATTTAATATATCATAAAATTGTTTTGTATTTTTTAAAAAGCAAAATCCTGTTAATGATCTCTAAATGATATTGTGGAAATCGATGCTAATCGTTGTGTACTCATGGTAACACAATGCTAAATTTGCATAGAATCATATAAACAAATTCATAAAAAGTTGCTATACAATAATTGTTTCACTTTACTTTAACTTGTGACATATTCTAGCAATCAATGGTATTATTATAAATTCAGTAATCATAGTGAAATATTGTAATTGCATTGTATTTTTGTCTATGATAAGGAGGATTACTAAGTTTTAGCTTTTAGTTTGCGTATATAATACTTATGTATATAGGTAAGAATAAATAATGTGCTTACATTATATAAGAAGTTATGTGAGAAGTAACGATCACTATCTCATTTCATTCAAGCGTACAATGTTTCATGATTATTTCTAGGCTTTATCTATCAGATTGAATGATTTCTATTTATGTGTTCTAATCAGTTCAGTTTTTTATAAAAGTCTGCTTTCATAATTGTATTGATAAATGCAAATCGCATATTTCATAAATATTGCATAGACATTGCACTGCAATGTTTATCCATCAAACTTCATTTGAAAAAAACCATTGTCAAACACATTTTTCTAATCAATAATTATACAAACGATAGAGAATTTTCTCACTTTAAAATTCATAAAATCTTCTATTGTATCTACAAATAAGTGGTCACTGTGGAGTGAATAATGTTATGTCCTTTAGTACTGATCGAGTTACACTGGTTGAGTTACAATATGGTTACTAGTCTACGTAACTCGACATTATGTGCACTATATTCAGATGTTATGTGGATGGACATAATCAAGGGTGTACTCTGAACCTCATTTTCGTGCTCGTTGATATTTGTTAGCAAGGCGTACCTGAAAAATTAATGCAACTGTTCCTCATTGTGGGATTGGAACCGTCTTCGACTAGCATGAAATCTAGGTTGGCGAATTCCTGTCACTTACCTCAAACTTCCTGACATTTCTATGTAGTGCATCTGATTTCTGATCATTCAGGCTAATGGCCATATATTAACCTGATTGAAAGAACTCCATCAACATAAAGTACTAGATAAATATGACCAGTCACTTCTCAGCAGCCAAGCATTTGTAAATATCTCATTTCTACAGGACTGTAAAGCAGGGTGACGCGGAAAGGAATCCCATGGAAAGTATCACTTCCAGATACATATTGCTAACGAATGTCAGAAAGCACAAAACCTAGGTTTAAATTCTTCTGTTGGTTATTTCCAACTACCTTACATCAAACAAAAAATTATGGTAAAAGTCAGTGATTTAAAATACTACCCAATACAACTCACTTCTCACCTCATATTCCATTAAAACTTTATCCAAATCGAGATCATCCAGATTTTTCATTCTCATCAATGAATAATCAATGTCTGGTAGACATCCATCCACTGGAAAATATCTATGATTTGTGATTTTTGAACTTTTCATTTGAATAATTATGAAAGTATATTAATAATTCTGTTTGACTTTGAATATATGAGTAAAATTTATTTTATCCTTAGTAAAATAATTAGCTATGAAAAGTCTTGAGGCGAAAAATTAAAATTTCTATTCACTTTAGCATGAATGATTCACTTTGATACTTTGAATGAAATCACAGCATATGTGAGCATATCGAGCATACATAACAACTGTATGAGAACTGGATAAATTATTTTTAACCAATCACAGTAAAACACTAAATAATTAAGGCGACCAATGAAATAGTATCTGATAAATAGGTTTAAACAATTCCCAAAGTAATCATAGCTATTGTAAACTGTTACACTAGAAGGGTCAATTGTAGGTCATTTTTTAGTATTTAATATTGATCTATGCTTTTATTGATAATTCTTAAACAATTATTTATTTTTTACAGACATCGTTAGTCATTTTCTAATGACTTAATATAGTTGAGATGCATTCTTGAAGTTATCGTAACAAATATTGCAATTAATAACGAGTATGAGTTCAACCACTGACGAGTTCCAAATGGAACGCAACGCGCGTCCTGGATTCCACTACTAGCCACTGTCCATCTTTGCTTATAAAGTTTGTGACGTAAGGCGATACCCAGGCAATCCACACAGGATGTACATATGCCAACAAGAGACTGATCAATTGCAATCCCAAACATAAATGGGAATATACAAGCAAACAACATTAAGTGAATTTTTTCCTACTTACAGTCTATAATAATAAAAGAACAATAAACAAGTATTTGTCAGAAATTTAAGCTTAGTGTTATCAATCAGTAAGACAATCTTTAAATATTCTGTATCCTACATACGGGGTCGCAGTTTCACACTGCTGAGGGGTCACCAACTATGACGAAACGGCCGTCCAGTACTTAAAGGTTTTCAGCAGTGGTCTAACATTGATCGATTCATAAACCCAATTGAGGAAATAAATAACATTAGTTTATTTTGTCAGCTAATTCTCATTCTCCCTCAAGCAATTCGTTAATCTAATCAAACTGAAATACAAGAATATATTAGTGAAAAGGATTAAATCTAAATGTATTTTAATATTTACTTCATGTAGAAATGAGTTTTTCTACGATTTTAAATATTGTAAACAATAATTTGTTTTTATGGATAAGACTTTTTGTTATTGGTTACATTTTAGTAATGTTTAAAATAAAGTTAATTATAAAAAAGTAAATTGCTCTGAAGAAGTGGCTTACATTAAGTCACGAAACGTCAAAAATACAACTTGTCTACTTATTGGGACATAATAAAAATATATTTATTAGTAAATCTCTAATCAATGCTCAATTTATACGAAATTGTCAAGTTCAACCAGGGCATTAATACCAATATACCCATTAATAACAAGATGGAGATATCTAGAAAAAAACATACTATTTGCTGTTCATTATGAAAAATATCATCTTAATATTGGATTTTTTTGAAGAAACCTCTTTTGCCATAAATTTAAAGTGGAATAATTCCTAACACTATCACACTTGACTAGAAAATTTGCTTCTCTTCAATACGTAACCGTGTAAAGTTCCATTTATTTTTAAAAAAAAACAACTGAGTTTATACCCATTTTAAAATTAATCCGATCATGTAAGTAAATAATTATAACCAAACAATAAGCAAACATACTGGTAAGCGTGTTATCATGAAACTAAATTACTTTCCTATCGCGTTTTATTTTGTTAGTCAATTACTAACTTGAAAGATATTTGAATGATAAGAAATGAGAATTCATATGATAAAGTATATTGAATTTATTAAATCAATTAAATCACGATTGTTCCTCCCTATGCATGTGTTTTCGCATATACATATAAGTTAATCGACACAATGGGATGTGACACAATCGCTTACGTGCTGTTTGGGTTTTGGGTGAAATGTAGACTTGTTCTTATCAATAATGATACATACCTAAATATATATAGAAATAAATGAATTCCAGTGGTCAAATAAGATCACAGGATAGACAGAAATCAGTAAGCATTTATTACTGGTGAAAACTAATAATCAATTTTATTTATAGTCAGAGAATATACTAGAGCAATGTTATTAAAGCTAATTCATTAATATCACTTTTACACCATTTTCAATATATACGTCATCTTAACGACAATTCACTTTCATACGCTTCATCAATAAATTATTTTCACTTAGTATTTCTTTAAAATACATTTAAAATAATCGTACAACTTTATTATGTCACTAGAAAATTTCGGACGTTTTATTATAAATGCACTTCAAAAATACTGTATGATAACAGTATGCTCATTAAATCACTTTGGATTCAATATTTGACTTCATGAGCCAATTAAATCTAGACCACTATAAACAAACTGAAGGCACTGGACTAACGTTTCGCCCTAGTGCAGTGCACAACCACGATCCCGCTCGCGGAGTTCCAATTCGGAACCCTCGGTCTCGCGCGAGAGCTCTTAACTTCTAGATCACTGAGCTGGCATCCAACGGTATTATTGTCTAACTTCAATCAATCCACGAAACTGTGCCGCCGTCTAACACTGTCTGCAATGAGTTACCATCTCACAATAGACCCGGTTGAACGTTAGACCACCATGGAAAACCTGGAATATATATATATAGTATAATTTTTAAGTAGTTAAACTATGCATATTCATGTTCTTCTTATTAAAAGCTTTATTTTGATTCATAAACTATTATTAAACGATTTACCGTTCTTGAGTTATGCCCAGTTTATTAATTACAATCTCCTACAATCACAGCCACTTTTCGATAGAACTTGTACAAATGTTATTTATTATTTTATGGTACAACGTGGTATGTTTGGCTTGTATGTAAACCCAGTATGTTTGAAATACATGAATCATATTTCAGAGGCTGAGATCTGTGTTCTGGACTCAAATGGCAGGACGAGGGACCGATAAGGACACTAGGCTGCTTGGACAGGTGTATGCGTCATTGAGCACAAATCTACAAGCTATAACATTAAACAAGACCGGTTTTTTGGTTGTCACTGAATAATTTCACTACATTTAGATGTTTATTGTAATTTATGTGTTTTACAATGCATTTATACTTTTACACTGGAAAAGATCATCTGTATGCATCTGTTCAGCATTAGAACATTTACAAAATGCAAAACAAATATTTAAATGATTCTTTTTAATCTTATTTACTTAGAAACTAGCTCAATAAACATATATCAGAAGAAATAATATCACGAAATGTTAGATTATTCAAATGATATCTGTTTCAGTTGTATATTTATCTTATACAATGGCCTACTGAATAGTGCATAACCAGGGAATACAAATAATTTAAAAAACTTTGGAGAATAAATTCAGTACTGACAAGTAATCAGAAATATAATACACAAATACAGTTTACCTGCTCTTTTTTAATTCTAATCCATGAAGGCCAATATTATTACTACTTTAAATACATTTTGTTATTTATGATAGTATACTTACAATTGATTGATCACTGGGTGGTGATCAATGTCTTGCTTGTCTAGTCCTTATTAGTGCAGATCGAATGCTATCGATCATGTTGCAATGTGGCCACCAGTCTAGGTGACTGTGAAGCTGGTTGACACGAGATCGAATCCGCCAGGGAGCACCAGTTCCCTCAATATTACAGGTACACCTTGCTGACGAGTGCCAAGTAGCACGAAACCCGGGTCCAGGGTTTCCTGTTGACTACCTCCAACCACCATCTAAATCTCAATACATAGTGCCCGCAGTGTCGAGTTACCTAGACTGGTGGCCACATTGCAACATGATCGATAGCATTCGATCTGCACTAATAAGGACTAGACAAGCAAGACATTGATCACCACCCAGTGATCAATCAATTGTAATTACATCTCAGTCCTACAGGAGGTTAGTCACGGCTCGGATAGCTCAGTGGTAACGTCTCTGACTGTGAAGCTGGGTGACACGAGATCGAATCCGCCAGGGAGCACCAGTTCCCTCAAGATTGCGGGTACGCCTTGCTGACGAGTGCCAAGTAGCACGAAACCCGGGTCCAGGTTTTCCTGTTGACTACCTCCAGCCACCATCTAAATGATAGTATACTGTTAATTGTTTTTCATGTTCGATAACGTGTGCCTATCAATTGATTTAAGATTTAAGTGTACATTAAGCAATTCTTAATGGCCTTTTTGATTAGAGAAGCAATATCAAGTCGTTTCTAGTCTATAAAATGAACAATTCATCGCTTACATTATGAAGTCTGTTTACAATACGGTGACTAATGTGTATTGGGATGAGGATAGTTGGTTATTGATTGATTATTGATGATTGCCTATGGTCAGAGTACTCATATTTTCACTTTAGATCTCAATAACCTGATTCATGATCTTAAGTAATTCATTTATGTACGTTAGGATACACTTTCTTTACAGGACAGATAATTAGAGATAATCATACAGAATATATTGTGATAGGTAAATGATTACTGCCATTTCAAATAATAATGAATGTCGATAGTGATAATAACATTTGTAAATCCATAAAAGTTTGTATAAGCTTACTTAAACTTGAATTAAATAAATAAAGTCATTTTTCCATATACTTCCTATCTTATTACTAAAAATTTATTTAGTTTAAATATGATGTTTTTACTATACACTACTTGTTAGAATAAGTTAAATCATTGCCCAAATAAATCAAAATATTTGTGTAAACAATCCCATTTGAAACTCGGATCAATTAGCTAAAACTCTAAAGAAACTATACCGGCCAACATGGATCAGAAGTTGAGTTTTGTGATCTAAACCAACTGAAGAATTTTGTAAACAATTCTCGACACAGTTGATTATAATCAGTTACGGTTTATCCTTAGAATATAAGATCAGTATCTTGAGTATAATTCAAGAAAAAATAGCTATTCATACGTATTTTTTATTTCAATAGTAATTCAGCTGATATACTTTCATGATGAAAAGCAGATTTGACTTTAACAGTTTACCTATTTCTTTTCTAATGA